GGTTCTTTCTCTCCACTACTCCATTTTGTTGTGGAGATCTTGGAACTGTTAGTGAGCGACGTATTTCATGGTTTGTTGAACTCATTTGAAGTAAACTCTCCTCCCCGGTCAGATCTCACGGCCTTAATAGAAAGACCACTTTCTTTCTCCCCAAGAGCTTTGAACTTCTTAAAATTTTCAAACACTTCTGACTTCTCCTTCAAGAAATAAACCCATGTTTTTCTAGAATAATCATCAATAAATAGGAGAAAGTATTTATTCTTACCAAACGAGTTTAGATTGATTGGTCCACAGACATCAGTGTGTATGAGCTATAGTGGTTTTGTCGCTCTTGATGTTGATTCCTTTGGAAAGCTTTTTCGAAATTGCTTCCCAATTAGACATCCTTCACATAGTTGGTCTGGGTGGTTTATACTAGGCAATCCTCTCACCATCTACTTCTTTGACAAACATTCTAGACTACCGAAGTTGAGGTGTCCAAATCGTAGATGCCATAGCCACGAAGAGTCGGTATAGCAGGCCTTGAGACACTTTGCCACATCATTTTGAATGTTAAAGAGGAACATTCTATTCTTTGACATAGGCACCTTAGCGATCAAGTTATGCCCACAATCTCTTAAGAAAATACTATGTTCTTTCAAGTGGATGTCATATCCTTTCTCCAATAATTGTCCCAAGCTCAAAATATTATTTTTCATGTTAGGAACATAGTAGACATTGGATATGAATTGATGACTCCCATTCTTTAAGCGTATGGGAATTTTACCTTTTCCTTTGACCGGTATCTTTGAGTCATCTCCAAATGAGACATTTTCAGTTGTCGCTTCATTGATCTCTATGAACATGCTTCGATCGCCGCACATGTGGTTTCTTGCGCCGGTGTCGAGGTACCATTTGTTTCTTTTCTCTTCAAATTGGTTTTGGCACGCGAGCAGCAAAGTTTCTTCTTCTCCACCTTTTTCTTCTACAAAGTTAGCTTTCTCCACAACTTTCTTTGAGAATCTACACTCAGATGCATAGTGACCGATTTTGTTGCAACTGAAGCACTTGATTTGTAACTTGTTGCACCTTAACCATGAATTTCCATTTCCACGACCTCTTGTTGCTTGTGGATTCCAACTTCTTTCTCCATTGTTGAAGTTGTTGGAGTAGTTGTTGTAACTGCCTCTTCTTTCTCCTTCATGTCCTCGTCCACGTCCACGTCCAAGGTCTTGGCCACGACCTCGTCCTCTTTGACTCTTGTAATTCTCATAGTTTGCTTCCTTTGCATTGAGTTGTAGTAGTTGCTCCATAGTCTCCTTTTGTTTAGTTTTTCTCTTTTGTTTTTCTTCTTATGCTTGTAAGGAACCCATAAGTTGCTCAATAGTCATGGTGTTTAAATCCTTGTTTTCTTCAATGTTGGTAACAATGAAGTCAAAACTTGGATTTAAAGTGCGAAGTATTTTTTCCATGACTTTCACCTCATCAACATCTTCACCATTTCTTTTAAGTTGATTGACTACGGACAATACTCAAGAAAAATAATCAGAAATTGACTCATACTCTTCCATAAATAAGCGTTCAAACTCATCTCTAAGAGTTTGAAGACGAATCTTTTTCACCTGCTTCACTCCTTTGTTGCAAGTTTGAAGCTTGTCCCATGCTTCTTTGGTCGTCGTTGCATTGGAGATCTTCTCAAATGCATCTTCATCCACCGATTGATAAATGAGGAAGAGAGCTTTCTTGTCTCTCTTTCTTGACTCCTTTAATGTCTCCTTTACACCTTGGCTTAAAGAGGCTTCATCTTTCTCCTTGAAGCCTTTCTCAATGATATCCCACACATCTTGAGCTCCTAGTAGCATCTTCATCTTGATACTCCAATTGTCATAGTTGTTCTTTGTGAGCATCGACATTTGAAAAGGGAAACCTCCATTCACCATCTTTTGAGGACCTTCAAGCTCTAATGCCACTTTGTTGGAAATAAGACCTTTTGTGTTTAGGAAAAGTGTGTGGGAATATTAGAGGCTTAAAGAGAAACTTGATAGGTAGAAGAATTATTTATGGAAGAGAGAACTTTGTATTTTGCTTGATACAAAAGTGTAGAATTATATCTCTATTTATAGTACTCTAAGGAAAACTCTAGACACATTAATTCTAGAGAGTTCTCAACTCTAGGAATTCCAAGACCATTCTACAAAATATTACAACCCTAAGAAGTATCTAGACACTTCAAACATTACAAGAGTTTTCTAGAAACATTAATTAAAATTACTTAAGTCCAAAATAACTAAGCCCAAAAATCCAAGTGATATGTTTAGGCCCAAATCAAGTTTAATCTTTCAACATTAACTTGTACCCTTGGGACATAAATTAACATTACCCAAATAATTATTGAATGAGTAATGTTAATTTGTGCCCATGAGACACAAGTTAAGAGATAGGATAATGTTAACTTGTGCCCCAAGGGCACAAGTTAAGAAAGCCACTTATAGTAAATTTGCATTAGAAAAAACGATTTAAAATTTAATTTTATACTTTAATTAAAGTTTGTACACAATTTTCAAGTAGAGGTGACAATGAAATCCATTTAGATAATATTCATCCAATCCATCCAATCCATCCATAAGACAAAAAATAATTTAATGAATTTGATCCAATCCATCCACTAACTCATATGGATGTATTCAATCCATCCATCTCATTTTATAAATCCATTGAATATTATGTTATCACTTATTAAAATAATTTTTAAATTAATTTTTTGGATGGATGGATATCCATCCATTAGAAATATGTTAATGAATGGATTGGATGGATTTTATATTTTAATGGATGGATTGGATTGAATTTTTATTAAGAGAGTTTAGTGGATTGTTAATGGATTAACATATTGTTTTGATCCATTCATTAACAATCCAATTCATGTCCATTCAATCCATCCATTTTGTCATCCCTACTTTCAAGACAATATTTCTTAATTTAGTTCTTAATTTGTGCCCTTGGGGCACAAGTTAACATTACCCTAAGAGATAAATATAGGAAATAATTCTTGGAAATTGTGTAATAAATTTAATACAGTCTTATAATTAATGACTTTATTGTTTTTTTTTTCATACATATTTTTTATTTGTGGGTTTTTTAACATGTGTCCCAAGAGCACAAGTTAGGATTATCTCTATTCAATTATAATTTTTTTGTTAAAAATATATTTCCTCAATTTTTTTAATTGTCTTTATTTTTTTATTTTTTACGTTAGTTAAAAAATTTAATAATTATTGTTACTTTTTAAACAATGAATTTTTTTATGTCTATAATATCTTTAATTTTTAATTATTTTAATATACTTTTACTCTCTCTATAATAAATAATTAAGAGTAATTTTAATAAAACTATAATTATTATTAGCTTGAATTTTAAAAACCACGATTAAAAAGAAACATAATTATTACCTATGTTCTTTTTTATAAGAGACAACTTATTTTTTATATTTATTAAATAATCAATATGTCTAGTCTAAAAACTGATCAAATATGTTGATTATTGAATGAATCTAAAAAGTGAATTGTTTCTATAAAAAAATTGAGATAGTATTTTATAAAATAGACACTTAAAAAGAAATGGAAAAAATATTACTGACATAACTGTAACCTTAATTTTATTTTAGGACATTAAAACTTTGGGAATCACCAAAAGACTAGGTAAAATTCACAAGAAAAAGTGGGTTGGAACTTGGACCCATGCTAAGAATTTATTCATTCACACGCACGCGCACACAGGTACTTATAACCACAATAACAATAATAATAAGGGTCTTGCTAACCGGTGTCCTCATGACACTATTTAAATATTCCATATTAAAAAATTATTTTTTTAAAAATTCAAACACTTCAATTTCCAATTTACATTATTACACATCATTGCACATACTTTTATAAAAATTTACTATTTAAAGTTTTAAAAAGTGTCCTGAGGGCACTGGTTAGCATTTCCCTAATAATAATACTACATCCATTTTAAAATAACACATAAATTAAAATAAAATAAAAAAATAATTAAATAGATAAATATATTAAATTTACAAAATTATAATTAATTATTATTGGCCGTTGTATATTGTCATAAATGTATGGTATAATTTGATATTTTAAAAATAATAAGGACAATATTTATTAATGATAAAGTTGGTAAAAGTTAATTAATTATGAATTGAGAAAATAAAGAAATATTTATTTTGAAATAAATTTTTCAAGTTAAAGAGACATTTATTTTGAAACAGAGAGTATAATAAATATAATCTCGATCTTAAATTATAAGTTATTTTATTAAAAAATTTATCTTAAATTATAAATTATTTTACATTTCCAATAGAATATTAATGATATTTTCCCGATATACCCTTAAATATTTATTATTATTTATTATTTTAACTATTTTAATTTTTCTCTTCTTTGTAATTATGAGGGATATTACTGTAAAGACATATATAATTTGTCTTTTCAATAAAATAATAATAATTTTTTTAATTTGTACGAAATGTTCAAAACGTCTTATAATTTGAGAGAGTATTTACTAAGTTATAAATTATAAGACGTTTTGACAATTACATACGTATTAAAAAATTTAATTATCATTTATTAAAAAAGATAAATTATGTTTAATTTTATAATAATGTCTCTCGTAATTAATAATAATAAGTATTTAAAAGTATATTAAAAAAATATAATTAATATTAAAAGTGTAAGATAAATTATAATTTGGGATAATTTTTTTTTTTACAAATTTATAATTGAGGTGAGAGGAAGTATTAAATAACAAACTTGTTTCGCGGGAAGCTCGTTTAACGAACTATCTTCTCCCTTCCTAAACAGAAAATCAAATCCAGCTTTGTTGTTTCCATTTTCTTACCTCCGCCACCCGAAAAATTTTCTCTTTTTTTTTCTCGATTCAAATCTTCTCTCTCTTCTTTCCACTCTCAAACGCACACACAATGCTATGAAGAATCCCAATCTCATCATCGATCCATGTCGTCGAACCCTCCGCCGCCAGAAAAGGATCCACCTCCAGCCACGCCGTCTCCGGTATCCTCTAGAGCCAACAAACTTCAGAAAACTCCTCACATTCTGAGCCGACTCACCGTGACTTCATCCGACCATGAAGTCGCCGACTTCGCTGAATTCGAAGACCAAGAAGAGAGTAAAATACACGAGGAAGATTGCGCTGTACCTCAACGTCATTTCGAACGGGGCGAATCATCGTCATCTTCTACTTCGTCGTCCATTTTGCTCCCGTCTTCTTTAGGTCTCAATAGCATTCGAACGCGATTATCGCCTCTTCGTCATTCTTCTTCCGCTGGTGCTCCCGCCTTCGCCATAAAAGAAGCTGCTGTTCCTGTCAGCATCAACAATGCCGCCAAATCTAGATCCAAATCTTCACATCCGAGAGACCTAGGTATACAGATTTCTCTAATAATATGAACCAAAACTTGATTTTACGTTGAATTGAATCAATCTCTCATGCATATTTAATTTAATTTTCGTTTATTTTGAAATTAGTTTAATTTTGGAATGAATTGGTTAGTGAATTTTTCAATGTTGTTCTTCGTTAGGGGAAAAATTTAATTGGAATAAATCCAAATCGTTGAAAGCTCATCATACACATCTCCTCCCTGTGCCGGAGGTGATATATTATACTTTTATATATAATTTTATGGAATTTCTGTGTGGGTGCGTGATTTTAATTTAGTAATTTTGCGTGTCTCTGTGTTCAATATTTGGATAAATGTATGTAGATCAGGTTCATGACGTGTTTTTTTGTACAGGGAAATCGTGCAGCTTTTGCGGAAATACAATCCCCACGTTTTCAGGAAATCCTGAGACTGACAAGTCGGAGGCATAGGAGAAACCCTGATATTAAAAGCTTTTCCCATGAGCTCAACTCCAAAGGAGTTAAGCCTTATCCAACCTGGAAACATCGTGCCTCTTGGCACGTGGAGGTACTTTTGTTTTAAATTTCTTTTATTTTCATATTAGGTTTTATGTCGCGGTCGCATTGCAGTCGCGTAAAGGCTTTTGCGATTTCGGTCGGTTAAGGTATTGTGACACTGATAGCGGTTGTCGCGATGTGAATTAACCACAATTTATTCTTTATCACAAAACAGTGAATAATGGTATTAGTATCTACACCTTTCGATACTGTTTTGTCGCAGCCGTTTTCTGGGTAAAGTACCTATTTTAAAACCTGAAAACAATAAGCCCTATTTGGATTAACTATTTAATTAAACGCTTAGAGCATTGTTTCCTTATAAAACTATAAACTGTTTTCCAAAGTTATCTTGGAGAGTCTACGAAAATTAACTGAAAACAACTTATGAACATGTCATAAACTCTTTCAAACTGTCTCACAAGTGTTTATGCGAGGAGATATGCTCAAACAAATAAGTTCTAACAGACCCTAAATTTGTTGAACCCCTTTTTTGGTTTTATATTGAAATGAAATGTTGCAGGAAGTCATGGTGGAGATTAGAAATAAGTTTGAAAAACTAAAGGAAGAAGTCGATTCTGATTTGGGTGGTTTTGCTGGTGATTTGGTGGGTACTCTTGAAAAAATATCTGGGTCTCCTTGTGAATGGAAAGAGGGGCTGGAAGATTTATTGGTTGTTGCTCAACAATGTGCAAAGATGTCCGCTGCTGAGTTTTGGATAAAATGTGAAACTATTGTTCAAAAACTAGATGATAAACGCCAAGAAATACCAGTGGGGATCCTTAAACAAGCTCACACACGCCTGCTGTTTATTCTCTCTAGATGTACTCGTCTTGTGCAATTCCAGAAGGAAAGTGATCAAAAAGAACAAGATCACGTTCTTAGTCTTCACCAACTCAGTGATCTTGGAGTATATTCAGAGCAAATTTTGAAGGCTGCAGAGAATTGCAGTGTTCCACCTAGTGGACATGAGATGGCTGAGAAGCAGTTACCAAAATCACATGGAAAAGAGCAAGAGAAATTGGTAACAAAACAAAGTAAAGATGACCAACATGCAAGTGCTGCGACTGACAGTGCGGAGGTTACCACAGCCGAAAGTGTTGAGTCAACTCCCAGTAGCTATAAAATGGCTTCTTGGAAAAAGCTTCCATCAGCTGCTGAGAAAAAACGTGTATGTCAAGATGCAGTAGTGAAAGATGAACACGCTGAAACCTTGGATACTTCATCATGTCAACCTGAAAATTCACAAACTTCATCTAGAATGCGAAAGGATTCTTGGGGATTCTGGGGAGATCAGCAAAATCTACCATATGATTATTCAATGATCATCTGCAGGATTTGTGAGGTTGAAATACCAATCGTAAGTGTGGAGGAGCATTCTCGAATTTGCACAATTGCTGATAAATGTGATTTGAAAGGCTTAACTGTAAATGAACGGCTTGAAAGAGTTTCAGAAACTATTGAAAGGTTACTTGAATCCTGGACACCAAAAAGCACACCTAAAAGCACTGATACTCATGGAGAAAGCTTTGAGTTTGCGAGAGTGTCAACATCGAGTTTGCATGATGAGTTCAATGAGTTGTCTCTAGAAAGAAATAACTTGTCTTGTAGATGCTCTGAAGACATGCTCGACCCTGCTCCTGAACCTGACATTAGTTTTGTTGCAGATGATCTAAACCATTCACCTGAAATAACATGTGATACTCAAATCTGCTTAAAACCTGATCATAGCGCAAAGGTATCTTCACCAGGAAGCTTGACACCGCGGTCACCATTGATTACACCAAGAACAAGTCAGATAGAAATGTTACTAGGCGGAAGAAGACACATATCTGAACTTGAGAGTTATGACCAGGTATACACTACCTTCTATTTATCCTTCATCATAAATCATTACATGCAGAAAAGCATATTATCAACTTGTATACAGTATAACCCATGCTGTTCATCTGTCGTATTTTTTTCAGATTAATTTTTCTGAATTTGAGACATACTAGTGATACATTCTTTTGAATACACACTTGACTGCATTCTTTGTAATTGGTCTATTTTAAAAAAAATCAAATTAGTTTTCTCAATGGGTTCAAAGAATGAGTGCTAGCATTCCTCCCGGAATAGTTTTATTGATGATTAGAATGTCAAATGACAGATAAACAAGCTAGTTGAAATTGCTCGTGCTGTTGCAAATGTGAACAACTGTGACTACAGTTCTTTGGAGTATCTGCTTGAACGCGTAGAAGAGCTTAAATACGCAATTCAGGACAGAAAAGAAGATGCACTTATTGTGGAGACTTTTGGTCGACGAATAGAGAAACTTTTGCTGTGAGCATTTGTCAATTTTTCGTCTGGTTTCAGGACAACCATATATTTTGGTGATTTTTAAAGTATTTATAAGATTTTTCCAGCATTTCTGTAGAACCACTATTTTCAGTATAAACTGAAAACTGTGTCGTTCCTATTATATTTTTCCTTTATTTCCTTTATGCAATCATAATAATGCTGAAAATCATACCTTGAAATATGCTATACCTTAATAGGGAGAAATATGCTACCCTTTGTGGGCAAATAGAAGATGAAAAGGTAGACTCATCAAATAGCATGGCTGATGAAGAGAGTTCTATAGAAGATGATACAGTCCGTAGCCATCGTGCTAGCCCGATTAACACTTGTTCTAAGGACAGAACCTCTATTGAAGATTTTGAAATAATAAAACCAATAAGCAGGGGTGCATTTGGACGAGTTTTTCTTGCCAGAAAAAGAGCAACTGGTGATTTATTTGCTATTAAGGTAGACTTCGTTAAACTGAAATGAGCCAAATGATTACCTTGCACAAAACAAGTTGAGATCAATTGACTCTATGAACTATGTTATTAAACAGTGTTTGCAAATTGGATATATCTATTCCTGAAGTCTTAAAACAATATTCTCCAGTCCGATATGACTATTCTTCACTCCAGCATTGTCAGTTGGCGATGGCTGGTTATAATATTAATAGCCTATAGAAACCATTTGAAAGTCTTCTTGTCAAACTAACTAACTGAGTAATAATTAGAAAAAGGTTTAAACTATTCTTTTATCTTTTTCCAGGTTCTAAAAAAGGCAGATATGATTCGTAAAAATTCAGTTCAAGATATTTTGGCCGAGCGAGACATCCTTATATCTATTCGAAATCCTTTTGTGGTAAGTAGGCCATACCATGTCGTTCATTGCTTCATTTGTGAAGTTGATGCACATTGTTAACATATCCAATTTTCATGTAATTGTGATGAACAGGTCCGTTTTTTTTATTCTTTCACGTGTAGAGAAAATCTTTATTTGGTTATGGAGTATTTAAATGGTGGAGATCTCTATTCTATGTTGAGAAACTTAGGTTGCTTAGATGAAGATATGGCTCGTGTATATATTGCAGAAGTTGTAAGCATATTGGCTTTTGTAGTTTGTTGGTTAAAAATTTTCTTTTATTTTTTATTTTTTTATCTTATTTTATCTTTTTTCTTTGTTGCTCCACAGGTTCTTGCGTTGGAGTATTTGCATACTCAACATATAATTCACAGAGACTTGAAACCAGATAACTTATTGATTGGTCAAGATGGTCACATTAAGGTCAAAATCATGTATTTAATTATTTTACATATCTCTTTCCTTGTTACTTTTTTATATCAACAACAAAAATATATTTTTAAAATGACAATATTCATAGTGGAGTAGCCTAGATTACTAACATTAGGTATGGACAGTTCCTAACTCAACTCAAAAGGGTAGCTCATGGAAGGAGAAGAGCCATGTTATCCAAGTTATTATAAGAAGCATGTTATCTATATATCTGGCAGGTGAGACAATTTGTTAGGAACTTAAGAATTGGATTCCAAAGAAATAACATTTTTATTAAGAAATATCATAGGAGAGAATTTCTCTTCAAAGATTTCTCTTTCGCGAGAATACTTTATTCATATTTACAAATATTTAAAGATGTTTGGTTAGGATATAGAATAATATATATTAGAAACCTTAAATAGTTATGAGTTGTGAGAAATTAGTTAGTTAGTTGATGTTGTTATTAAAGAGTATGCATATAAATAAGATAATAGAAAGGGTAAAGAACATTTTAAATATTGTAATTGCTAATGGAGTATTCTCTGTTATGAAGGAACCTTTAAGAGAGATTCTCTTCTTTTCTATCCTAATTCTTAATAAAAATTGTTATTTCTTTGGAATCCACGTCTGGGTAATGCATGAGTTCTAGGAGATGGAGGCAGTGCAAATGGTGAATTTACCAACTTTTATGGGGTAGACCCTATTGGATTGATTGCAAGGGCCAAGACCCTTTTTGTTCTTGGAATAAAGTAAACTTCCATCCAACCCGGCAATCTTTTTTAAAGGTCTAGTAGGAAGATTTGGACTACAAAACTGTCGGTGTAAGGCAGAGGGATCAGCAATTGAGGAATACAAAACCTACATACAAATTCTTGATGAAATGGAAAATCAAGAAAAAGAATGTTGCAAAGTGGAAGAAGAGAAAATGATTGAACAAAGAGGTGATCAAGGTGAAAGGTGAAGGTGGAAATGCAGAAATGACTCAACTTTTGACCGACGAGGCCTAAAATGTTCATTATGAAGACTAAAACCACAGCAGTCCAAACTGTCTTGGTACCTATATAAAGGTAAAGAAATAAAAAAAGTTTCTATGCTATGATCAAGAATGAGAGGGAATACCCCGCAATGGCCTAAATAATTTAGATTCTTATGCTCCGATCAACCTTGGACCATAGGCGAACCTACCAATGAAGAGTCACTCGTGGCAGCAGTCGAGATTCAAGTTAAAAATTGTTCAACCATTCAAACCAAACCTATTGGGCTAGGCCTAATCAGAGGTTAGTATGTAGGTTTTCCATCTATTTTCAGATGCATCTCAACCGTAGGATTTATGACCTCCCAAAAAAGAGCACTGCGTCTCAATGGGAGAGATAGGTTGTTAAACCAGAGTATTGGGAAGAAGGCGAGATAGATTTGGTTGCTAAGGCAGGAAAGTGAAAACGTGTAAAATGAAGTGGGCTGAGCCCAGAGACACAAATGGATTATACAATCTCTCAATGTGATTTGAATAGGTTTTGAGGCAAAAAGTAATTAGAATCAGAGAAAGTACAAGACATTACTGTTGGTAACAGAGCAGGTTGATTCACGACCTAACCATTAGCGTCAAGTTGCGAGCGGAATTCTGGAAGAATTGACTATGAGTTTCTACTACCATCACATAAATGTTGAGTCTGATCAACTTAAGATTTATGTGTGGTTAACTGAATCTCATAGTCAGTAAACCAAGAAGGAGTAGTGGAATTGAGAAAACCCCTTGAGTTCAAGAATTTTTGGAGAAGGAAACCTCGAGACTAAGTAAGAGCCATAGCCACCAAGTAACTCAAGTACGGTTGAACTCTCAGAGGATTAAAGGACAAGTCTCTGCAACTAGATTAAAGCGTTTTAGCGCTTGCGAGCGCCCAAATTCTTGAGAATCATGTAGTTGAAGAGAAGAGATGTTCTAACCTATAAACCAAGATGTTCCGTAAGTTGACAAGGAACTAGTGACGACTAGTAAGGTGAGTAAAGTTGGGGATAAAGCATGACTCAATTAATGGTATCCCACTAATAGAGTTTGAGCATCACAGATCTGGTGGCATGATACTACCACGGGATTGCTTGAGTAGGTGTGGAAAGTACCTTGCAGGGGTTTCACAATTGGTATACCTCGTGCATATATGGAGGACAAGGATTCCATTTGAGTATTTGAGTAAAGAGATGGAGTGACCAGCCAACTCATCTATTGCAGTAGAGATTCTCTACAAGGCATATAAGGCAACTAGAAGTCCCTGTAGAACGTTGGAGTTACAAGGAATTCTAGGGTCATTCTATGAGTGACCAGGATTTTGTAACAAATAATTTTTTTTTTTTTTTGGATAACGCTGACTTATGCCTCAGAAGTAAAGGAATAAATATAAAAAATAATTTTTAAAAATTGTGTAATAAATTTAATACAACTTTATAATTAAGGACTTTATTGTTTTTTTTCATACATTTTTTCTGTTTGTAGATTTTTTAACATGGGTCTCAAAGGCACAAATTAACATTATTTTTTGTTTTTAATATAAAATTTATTTTGAGATGAAGGCATTAATAAATATAATTAGGGTACTTTTAAATAAAGGAAATATTTTATAAAAAAAAGACAATTTCCGATCCATTAAATACATTATTTCCAAAACAACTTAACTTTTTAATCTCTTGTTCGATTTTGAAAAATTAATTTAAAGGGTTTTGAAAAAGTAATTTAATATTTAAATTGATTTGAAGGATTTTCATTAATATAGTATCTAATAGTATCATTTTTGTGCAATTTTTTTTTTTTTTAATCTGTTTGCCAGTTTTCATTTGAATTGGTTTGAATTTGATTACCCCTGTTTCCATAGCAAGATCCAGGACTCATGAACTATAATGTTGTGGCCCTTGGGCTTTGATTTTCTACTAATTACCGTATATCACCTTGAGACGCCCTAATGAAAATATTATTTGATACTTCTTCTAAATGTTTGATCTTTTTTTTGGTTACAGTTAACGGACTTTGGACTCTCGAAAGTTGGTCTCATCAACAGCACCGATGATTTATCGGCGCCCTCATCTTTCGCTAATGGCTTTTTAGACGACGATAAACAAAAATCTCGACATGTTTCAAAAAGGGAAGAACGTCAACAACAATCAGTGGTTGGCACTCCAGATTATTTGGCACCCGAAATACTTCTGGGCATGGGACATGGTTTGCACTTTACTGCTGATTAAATAGTACATGTTATCATAGACAAGTGCTTTTAATTAGCCAGTTCATTTTTAAATGAATAAATAACTAGTTTTATTTAATTTTTTCTTTCAAATTCATTTTATTTTAAATACATTCTTATTATGCATTCTTGTACTCATGTAGGTGCAACTGCAGATTGGTGGTCGGTGGGTGTCATACTTTATGAGCTTCTTGTGGGTGTTCCACCTTTTAATGCAGAACATCCACAGGTAGGTGAATATTTAAAGATATAGACGGGACACTCAACACTTGGTGGAACTGGCCGGTCCAGTTTTCAAATCAACATCTTAATGCACTTTCTGTTTTTATTTGATGCTCTTTATTATATGGTTATATTTGCTTTGATTTTTTATTTTCATCATAATTACCCATAGATTTCTTGGATCTAATAGCGGTTACTGAATTTTTATTTTGTTTGATCCACGTCAAATAATTTTTATTTAGACTCGTTGTTTTATTTTGCTTGCAGCAAATTTTTGATAACATAATTAACAGAGAGATACAATGGCCAAAGTATCCTGAGGAGATCAGCTATGAAGCATATGATTTGATGAATAAGTAAGTATAATCAAAGTTGATGTATTTTATAAATCTTTAAAGGAAATTGTTGAATTTAAGTATGAGTTGTTACTTCCGATTTTCCATGTAGATATAAATGGAGAAAATCTCGGATTTATAAGAGAAATGATTCATACATTCAATGTCATGATAATAATTGATATGTAAATCATAAGGACCTGTTTGAGAGTTTGGAAGGGAATGGAAAAAATTGAAGGATTTGTTTTTACTCATAATATAAAAAACCCCTAATTTGAAAAACTCAAAATTTATATTAAATGACGATTTTGTATGCATAAATTTTCTAAATATATATTATGTTCTTAAAATATTTAAAAAATTAAAAATATAATAATGATAAACTATTTTTTATCATTTTATACAAAATCATTTTTTCAAAAAATGTCAAATATTTTTACAAAATTAGTTTTTGAAATCCTTTTTCTCCCCACTCCTCCAAATTCCCAAACAAACCCTAAAGAGTTTGCTGAATATGTTCAAAAGGTTGTTACACCTATATCTTGTTGAGCATTTTTGGCATGAATTCTTTATATTTTTTTACCGGTAAATAAGTCATTTTATAGAAGAGTTTTTTACCTGTAAAATAAGTCATTTTATAGAAGAGAAAATGAGGAGAAACTTTAAAAAAAGACCTTAGAGATTAATGAGTGAGATAGATATATGATATATGGCAAAACATAATGATGTCATTTGAAGCGGATCCGACTAAATGACAAGGTTTGGTGGTTGTTATGGTATATAGGAAAATAGATAGATGTGAGTGGGGAGCTTGTGTGCACACTCACCAGCTTTGCATAACAATAGGCATGTGGATAGGATAGAATGGAAGAATACGATTATGTGAAAAGTCAAACTGATGATTTTCAATAATTTATCCACAGCAATCTTACACACAATAAAGATGTGGTCAGCAGTGACTTACAAAACAAACACTACTGTCGGAACAATTTGAGAAACACGCTGTTATTAAATAGTATAAGCAGCTTCTACAAGTATTTTGTATTTCTATGATACGTCTAAATGGATATTACATGACTTATGTCATTTGTTGGTAAAAGCAGTCCTCCTTTAACGTTATACATTAAGATTCCTGTGATGTTGGTTATGGCTGACAATAAAGTTTTCTTTCAGATTATTAATCGAAAACCCAGTACAAAGGTTAGGTACAACAGGAGCTTCAGAAGTGAGTTATATACTTTTAAAAATGGAACACTCAGCAAATTATGGTATTATATTTACACAAAAGGGAACTATTTTTTTGGCAGGTTAAAACCCATCCTTTCTTCAAGGACATTAATTGGGATACGCTAGCAAGGCAGAAGGTCATCATTTTTAATTTCATTTGAACTTGATATGTTTATGCCATATGTCTTGATTTCTCACACTTGGGATGCACCCAAATCTTTACAGGCTATGTTCATACCATCGACTGAAGCTCTTGATACAAGTTACTTTATGAGCCGCTACATTTGGAATCCAGAGGATGAGCACTGTGCTGGAGGTAGTGATTTTGATGACATTACTGAATCTTACAGCAGTGGTTCAGGAAGCCATTCATCGGATGTAGATGTAAGAATACTTCTGAATTTTAGTACTTTAACACTATCAATTAGATTGAACCATTTAGTTGTTGACATGTTGTCTACTTGTTTAATTTGTGATTATGTGTAGAACATTATTGATAATAGCTATTGACTTGAAAGAGAAGACTCGATACTAATTCCTATTTGTAGGGATACATAGAGTCAATTCTAAATCAAGAACAAATCATAATAATAATAATAACTAATATCTAATATGATATTAAGTGATACTCTAAGATACTCTAAATTAAAATAAACAATATTATAATATATTTATAATATTCTAATACTCCCCGTCAAGTTGTTACAAATTAACCTTAAAAATACAAGATCAAACCAAACAAACTAATTTCATAACCAACGTAGAGAGAAAATAATAAGAAGAATAATCATAGAGAGGAACAACAACTAAAGAGGGATTAAGTTGTTTCGCCGGTAGAGGCAAATCCGGAGATGACATTGGGGATGACACATGAAATGAAGCCGGAGTGATAAACCAACAGGAGAAGCATCCAAAGAGAGACCAAACTAATGGAGAGTAAGAGAGGCAACAAAGAGTATATATGACCAATATCAAAACCAACAGTGAGAGAATCAACTGAAATCATATATGATCCAATCTTAATCTTCAAGCACACAAAGTGGTAGACGACATGCTGTGAACAATTTGTCGATTCAACAAGATTTTTTTCTTCAATAGAACCTATCATTAACAAAATACAATACAACACACATTCTCAAATTTGTGATAACTCAATAAGGGAAGCGATCTGTAGTTCAAGGAGGATCGAAACAAGCTCTAGATACCATGTTAAATTTGTGATTATGTGTAAAAGATGAGCGAAAAATATTATTGATAATAGTTATTGACTTAATACAAAAGACTCAATCTTAATCTCTTTATAGAGATGCATAGACTCAATCATAAATCAAGAACAAATCATGCATGATAATAAAAACTAATATATAATCCGATACTAAAAGATACTCTAAGATGTTGAGTAGTTTTGCTTTTGAATTATTTTGGATTTTATCCATTGTATTAGTCATTTGTCTGTATAAGGCCTTGTATCTTTGTGATGAATAAGAGAATACCATTATGTACCAACAAGTGGTATTAGAAAGCTGTGACCCGGGGCCCAAAATTGAAAACCATTGTTTTCAGTTACAACTATAGAAACTGTTGGCTCCACTGAAGTCGTTGCACGCCATTCTTGAACCTTCTTCCTCCGATTTTCTCATTCAGCTACTATGAAGCTAGAGCTTGTGTAGTAAGTCAGATATACATGGTTCAATTAAGCATGAATCTATTAGAGAACACGTGTACTTTATCATATTTACAAATGATTTTAGTAGGAAAATATGGATTTATTTTTTGAAAGAAAAGTCTCGTGCTTTTTTTTTTTTTATTTTTTTTTTTATGTTTTCAAAAGGTTTTTAAAGCATTGGTTAAAAGGGAATCTAATTGCTTGATTCAATGTCTCAGAACTTAATAGGGCACGGGAATTTACATCCATTGCATTCAATGAATTTTATAGTTCACAAGGTATCAAAAGACAACTAACTGCATCATTTACTCCACAATAAAATCGAGTATCTGAGAGGGAAAAAAAAAGAATACTTATGAATATGGTCAAAAGCATGTTGTCATGCAGAAATGTACTCAAACATTTCTGGTCTGATGAAGTGAAATAGGCCACTTATGTCATCAATACAAGTCCTACTCTTGCAACGAAAAACTTGACTCCTGAAGAAGCTTGGAGTGGATCAAAACCATCGGTGCATCACTTTAAAGTTTTTAGCTGAAAACATTATGAATGAAGAAAGTCCATGAGAAATGAGTAATCAAGGTGATTCTAGTGATGGTGATGATTCTAGTGATGGTGATGGTACAAAAGCTTCCAAGGATTAGAAAACTTCCAAGTTACCTTACTGACTATGCTATTGGTACAAAAGCTGAGAAAGAAGATCAATGGCACAATCTTGGTGTTTTCAGGACAAGTGAAATCCTAGCACTTATGAAGAAGCTATCAAGTCAGAAATTTGGAGAAAATCTATGGACCTTGAGATAGAGTCCATATAGAGAAATGGAACTTGGGAGCTCATTACCCTTCATGCACGCTTGAAGATCGTTGGAGTTAAATGGATCTATAAGACAAAATATAATTAAAGAGGAGAAGTTGATAAGCATAAGATCATATTAGTGGAAAAATGGTACTCACAAAATAACATATGTACAAGATGTACTTTAGGAAACATGTGGAGAAAAATGTTCCAACATGTGTTATAGCATATGAGTTTGTTGTTAAGAAGAGATGTTTACCTAAAGTGTTTGACATAACTAATTAAATAAGAGTTGTTAAGCTAAAGTGTTTGACAAAAACAGTTAAGCAAGAGCTGTTTAGCTAAAGTGCTTGACAGAGATAGTTAAGCAATAGACATAGTCCTTCAGAAGAGGTGTGATGTTGACTTCTTCAAGATGCAGAAGTTTGCTTTTGGGAAGAAGTATGTAATGTCAATCCAAAATCAATTGGAAAAGATTTGGATTTGTTTCGCTCAAAGAAGATTTGATTGAATGTACCCCGAAGGAAGTTTTGGTCCAAGATTTACTCTACAAAGAAGATTTATATGAAGCGATTTATTTTGGTTGTTCTAGTGTAACACGTGGAACACGATGTTCCAACACGTGTGCTGTAACTCTGTAACATCCGGTATATGTCAACAGATAGTTGATAAGTGCAGTTGCAGTAAAGAAGGGTGTGCTGCAACATCTTGTCTATATCAAAAGATAAATATTAGTGTAGTTGTATTGCAGACGGGATACGTGTGGAACACGATATTCCAACATGTGTGCAAAATTTTGCCCTGATTCAGCAGGTCAATGTTGTTTCATTTTTAGAGCAAAAATATGGTTAAGATTCAATCAAATTTGTTGCTATATTTCAGCAATGCGTTTGTGTGATTTGTTTGACAGCTTTTGAAGATTAAATGAATTTAAATGGATATTTAAAGTTGAATTTTAATTAATAACAAATCATATCTTTTGTTAGAGATCTTTATGGAGCAAATAAAATCCAACAATATCTAATATTATTCTGTTTAAAATGGAGAACTTCAAAGAAGGAGGAGCTGTTTGTCAACCATAGATTTGTTATGGTGTTATGAATCCTCTAAAGATTGTTGACACTTATGAAGATTGTGATGTCCAAGCATAATATCAGGCTTGCTAAGATCTTTAGTAAAGCCATAAGACAACTTGACAAGAGATCTAGGAAGAAATTTCCTACCAATGTCAAGAACATTTAACATAAAGAAACAGACGGTGAAAGATAAAATCTTAACTCTTCCTACAATTGCAAAAGGATTTAATGTCTTAAATGCAACGATTTTGGAGATATTCAAGATGAATGCTCAAACTTTTCAAGGAAACAAAGAAAAACCTCCAATGTCACTGATGATGAAGAAGATAAATGTAATTAAGAAAACATTTGTGACTTTCAAAGACATGAAAGAGGTTATTCATACTGGCGAGCCATCAAATTCAAAGTGTATTACTCCTCTTCAGAAAGAAAATTGCATAATGTCAGGAAACATGTCCCAACATCTGGTCAAACATGATTACCAGTGCATTAATTTTGTCTCATCCATTTCCTTTCACTATTATAAGTTGTATGGTAGTCATCCACACCATCAACATATGCATCCTTAGTGGAACGAGAAGCTTCAAAGGCATCATCAACAAGTTTGGCTTGACAAGTCTAATATTCTTGTTCATAATGCTTGTTCCTCCCACAAGGTGTTTGCTTGTGGAGATTTTTATTTTGAAAGTATCTGCAATAAACAATTGATAAGAGAAAGAAACTATGTTACATCTTGTGATAGCCATAAAAGAAAGAAATATGTAAGGATTAAGATGGTATTTGCCACTGTATAGCAGAAGGTTGAAGATCATGTTTCAGACATCATGGAAGACTGAAACTAAGCCATGGTACACAAAGCTTGGGGGTTGTTACAGAGAAGGTTTTCATATGTGTACTGATCATAATGCTGAAGAAGAAAGTAGTTATGAAGTCTGTCAACTTGTGAAGCAAACCAAGATGTCATATAAGATGGTTCAACATCTTACTTATACTTCTTATTTATCACATATGGACTTTATGAGACTCAAGAAAGGAGTTATCATTGAAAGGAAGGTTGATAGTCAGCATGGAGGTCCTCCCAACATTGAACAACTAATAGTGGTTCAGAAGAATAAGCTGAAGAAGAATAGGGATTATGCCATTATTTCTCATTTGTTTGGAGTTTTGATTAACCAAAAACATGATAGTGTGTTTGATGAAGCTAGAACTGGTGTTACTCTTAGTGTTTTAAAGTCCACCTATAGGATGTACGGCAAAAGATATGTTCGAGTCATTGCTCTCCATAACATTCCATATGTTGATAAGTCTGTACTAGCTGTCGGTGGAAGTGTAATTGATGTCTCACTCAAGAATGAGCCTATGAGAAATCATCATCTCATTCATATGTCTGTTGGTGAAGAAATCAGGAAACCAATATGGAAAATCAAGATGTTGATAAAGATGTGCCATACATCTTATTCGACATGTTGGCAAAGTCTCAAAATAATGATCATGTCCATGAAAATGTTGATCATGGTGAAGATGTGGAGACATTGCGTGAAGATGTGATAAGTAAGGATGAAAGCTTACTCCTGATTTGTGTTATTAATAACAAGCTATATAGTTTTTTTTACAAGGGCACACAATCTATAAATGATATTACTCCTCATTATGATGAAGATTTTGGGCTCATTGGTTCTGATATGGAACAAGTTGTTACTGACAAATCAGGAAAGGTTATGCTATTTGCTGAAGAAGATGGAAGTTTTTGTGATGCTAAAACTTTTGATCCTATTGCCCATCTTAGAGCCATCAAATTGATACCAAGACAAACTTGTATTTTGAAGCTCAAATTTTGTCAGATGGA